TCGACCGATTAGTTCAAAAACCTGAGAAAACAATGTTTTAAAGCTGGCGGTCGACCGACGTAAATTTCGATCGACCGAATGGAAATTCCGGTCGACCGGAAAAACTCTGGAAAATTTCTCAGAAACAGACTACCTGTCGGTCGACCGTAACGGTCGACCGAAAACCGATATATGAAAATTTCCAGGTTTTAGGGTTAGTTTGAAAATCCAGAAAAAATATCAAATCAAGTCCAAAAATAATGAAACTTTGGGGAAAGTTTCTAAATGATAAAATAAACATGTTTAAAGAAGAATTTTTGGAAAATCAATTTTTTTTTGTGAAAACTACCTGTTTTTGAAAAATGCTTAGAAAACCTGTATTTTTATGAAAGTGAAAGATGATATAGGACTTGTAAATATTCATATATATATTGTGCATATATTATATGTATATAATAAAGTATGAGAGAGATGTAAACAAGAGATAAAGATATTTTATCAACGTTTAATGAAAAATCATCTATATGATAGAAAACGTCAAAAATACCCAAACGTTTTTAGGGTTTGTTAAGCATCAGAAAACCATCAAAAGAGAGAGCTTTTGGCAGAGAGATCTCAGAGAGATAAAACCCTAGTTTGAGACCTTGTATTTCTTCTTCAATCAATAAAAAGAATTGTACGGTGTGGCTCCCGAGGACATAGGCCAGTTGCCGAACCTCGTTAAATTTGGTGTGTTCGTCTCATTTATTTTTCCTACAAGTTTTTTGATCTTTATTTGTGGTGAATTTCTTTCTTGCTCAACTTTCAAAGACAAGGTCCGGAAAGGCAAGGGTTCGATTTGATTGTTTCGAATCCCTAACATTAACCAGGTAAACTAATTTTGAATCACCTAAAAATCTTTGAGGGGACTAATTTCAATTTGATGACTTGAGAAACTAATTTCAAAATATGATCGATTTGTACTCTCTTCCTCCCTTAACTATCTGAGATATTTTATACACTTTAACAAGATAGCTCATACCAAAGCATTAAGGTCCGTGCAGCGGTATATGTTTTTTAATCTGTTTCTAAGTGGCTTGATTGATGAGATTTGAATATAGATTGTTCTCTTACCATGTTCAAGATCCCTCCAACTACGTCAAACTCTAGAGTTTGTGATGATGGTTGAGGGCTATATTGCATACTCTTATAATTGTTAGGATAATTTTTTTGATAGGAATATGGTATTCTGAAACTTTAAGAATTTATTGTGCTTTTTTGTAATAAGAAATGTTCTTTTTAATATATTTTAGCATAGGTTTTGGAGTTGGTCCAGAATGGTCTGTCCTTTTTGGTAAGGATTTGTTAAAGATAGAGTATTAGAGGTTTTTTAGCAATAGAAATTCTATTTGGATAGGAATTTAGGAACCTTTACGGTACATGAACTTAACCCCTATTTAAGGAGTTGAATTCTTATATTAAAAAAAAAGAAAACTTTGAGAGAAAGAGAGTATCTCAAGAGAGAATCTATAGATTAAATCAATAGCAAAGTTATCTATCTTCTGAGAGAATCTATAGATTAAATTGATCTCATCTGTGTTGGGTTGTAATCTCTCTTCCAAAGGCTGAGATGGATGGATTACAACCTTCAGCAGTTTTTTGCCGTATGAAGGAGTCAGGTGAGTCATACGAGACAGCAAAAAAATACATCAAGGATCAAATAAATATCTACTGGAAGAAACTCAACGAGGAAGTTGTCAACGGTGATCATCCTCAAATCTTTAAAGACGTATCAATAAATTCGTGGAAAACTACCTTCACAATGTCACAATATGGAGATGGCACTGGCAATTCCCCTGGCGCAGCGAAGGACAGAGTCCGCTCGTTGTTTTTTGAACCTATTCCCATGGAATAATTTTATTCCTATGTTTTCAGTATAAGAATTTGTACCTTAATTTATCATTCGGTAATTTGGCTGTAATATTTGTTGGAGCCTGTAACTTTTTCTCTCTTTTTATTTTGAACTGAAAAACAGGGTGAGATACCCTGTTCATATATATATTGTAACTTTTTCTCTTTATCCTATTGTTAAATTTCCGTAAAAAAATAATTCTATATGCTTTTATTGTTGCAATAATTTATAATGTGTATACCATCATTCACCAAACAAGATACAGTCTCTCAAATCTTTCATATTTCCAGATTAGTCTCTCAAATCGTTTGGAAAATGGTTTGCAAAATTAAAGAGATCTAAGATTTTTCTATTTGAGCATAAACGACCTTTTATTATTTGTTTCGAACTTTCTTTTGGTTTTACGGCATACTTAAGCTGATCGAATTGAGGGTTGAGAACTAACTAGGATTAGGAATTACTCACTATGAGGAGTTAGGTTAGACGACTAGTTTTTTTAGGTTAAAACTAGGGTGCAGTCTTGTACTCCTACTAAATCGGATTTGTGATTCAAGAGAGCTCTTTTATAGTGAGGAAGTCTATTCGCGAGAAGGAAGAGTGATAGTAAGATTGTTTATCCATAAAAATATTGTATATTCTAGTTGTTTGTTTCTATGGTTGATTTATTTCTTATTATTCGTTTATCGCTATAAATTGTTTTTTCGCAGCATAATTTTGATAACGCGGAAAACAGTAGACAGTTCTAATCATCCTTTTTTTGGACTTACATCTCAGATTCAACAAAGATGAGCATAGGTAAAGGCCATAATGATTCGTGAAAGTCCAAAATGAATTTTAATAGAAAGTTCACCTTTTGATCTTCAAATCCAACAAATTGAAGAGGGACATAATCACTGATTTTTCTGTGAAAATAATTAAAAATCAAATACACAACTCATTCATCACAAATCACATGAGAATGTGGTGCAAATAAGGGGTTGTTTGGTTCAGCCAAAAAAGTTAAAAAACACCCCCAAAAAGGAGTAAATGTGTCAGTTTTCCAATTTTATGGGTCACTTCCAATGTTTGTTTCGAACCTATTTTATTAGAAGTGAGTTCCCAAAATATCATCTCACATCACTTGTAAAATCCATTTCTTAACTTTTTAGAGGAAATGGGCTAAAGTTGGTTAAAATAAAATATTTTAAGAGTTTTTTGGCTAAGGTGGCATTTCATATGGGTATGCTTTCCTATTTTAAGACAAGGATCCAATCAATTGAAACTATGATTTTCTAAGAATTGAGGTTGTTTTTGCCCCAACCAAACAATAAAAATTCATTTCTAAGAAGTGGATGGAAAACACAAAAAGTGATCCCCCCAAAAAAAAAAAGGTTTTCGCATAATGGGAGTTCCAAGCGGCCCCTAAATTTACATTTTTAAGTTAATCATACTTTGGCTTCTCTTCTAGTCTGTCGATGTTGGGCTTTGTTTATTGACTTTTTGAGATTAGCATCTACTTGTTTGGTTTTCTAACCCCTGTTGCGATTTGAAAATAGAGATGAGGAAGAGAAAAAAGAATAATCACAGAGAACACATAGAATTTTACGTGGTTCACTTCTCAACGAGAGAAGCTATGTCTACGGTTCACTATTCTCAGGTTGGTTTACAAGCTGCCCTAACCACCCCTTTTATAGCATAGGGTTCTTACAAACAAGAATCTCAAAAAAACCAGAAAACGAGCCCAGGCCCAAACCCGAGTCACGGTCGACCGCCAACAATGGTGCGGTCGACCGATCAGAATGTCAAAATCTCAGGAAACCAATTACAGGGTCCGCGATCGATCGGGCCTAACCTCACGGTCAACCAGACCTAGCCTCACGGTCGATCGGCCAGAATGCAGAAACACACCCTGTAGTGTGCATGTTTTTCGATCAATCGGGCCTTGTCTCGCGGTCGACCGGCCAGCACCCAAAACATTCGACCGGCCAACACCCAAAACGTTGCCTACTTCGTTTTTCCTGTTCTTGCATATTTTTCTCTTCAATGCAGTGAATAGGGTTGAGCCTGATAGTTAGGCTCGACATAGCCTAACAATCTCCCACTTGGAGACTAACTTTCAGTCTTTATGACCTTTCCTACAGCGACAGCCTCCCATATTATCAAGTAATGAGGCCAATTGAAGTTGAACACGACAAAACTGTCTCTCAACTTCTTGTTGCTTATTTCCTCTTTAAGTAACTTCTCGTTGCCTATTTCTGCTTTAAGATACATGTTGAAACTGAATTTTCAAGTTTCCGGCAATTGGCTCGCCATGCCGAGGCTCAATCTCTCTCCTGCCTCTGTCTCTTGCTCCTTCAAAATGGTTAGTTTTATTTTTCTTTTGGAAAATGATAGGGGCACACCTCCAACCACATCCCAAACCATACCCCCTCTCTCATATGCTACAGTGCACCAGGTCCTACATGGGATTTTAAAATTTTAAAATCCTATGTGGGGCCCGGTGCACTGTAGCATATGAGAGAGGGGGTGTGGTTTGGGATATGGTTGGGGGTGTGCCCCTAGTGCCACCTTTTTTTTTTCTTTTTTTTCTTTCCACCCCTTTACATGCCTGTTTTCCAAGGATTCTATTCACAAAGGAAAGCAAGCGAAAATAAGGTCTTGTAGAATTAAGTTTAAGTTCAATATATATTTTTCGCCGTGTAAAGTTCGACTAACAAACCGTAATACAATTATACGGAGGGATGACATTTCTGCAAGCGTATAATGTACGGTTAATTTCACAAAAACCACCCTAACTCTTAGTTTTTTTATTTTTAAAATAATATTATTTTCTTTGGTTTTTTTTGTTTCGCTTCGGGTTTTTTTTTGGGTTGGGTTGGGTGGGGGGGGGGGGGG